TGGGTCAGTCTTGGAATATTTTTATAGATAGCATCCCCCATAGCCAGTCATTTCCACTCTTGCGGTAGTTTCCCCTTTACCCCAGAATCCCCCATTCCTAGGATCAATGATTTGCAGGACCCAGTGCAGTTCTTGTAAAGGTGTATCCATACATACAGACTGCAATAACCTGCTTTAGGTTTCTCTGACAGTAACTACTGTTCAGGTTTCTTCTAAAATAATTAGGATTCCCAAGAAAAGACAGGTGGGAATTTTCTCAGTTCTGGATTAGAACCTCACCACAGTAAACCTGGAGCTATTAGTATAACAAATCTGGTTTGCAGCTGGGCTTCATGGGATGGTTGTACCTTGGTGGGGTTCCTATGGAATCTGTGGGCCTTAGTCTCTGAGCCCTGTAGTGATTAGGACTTGAGAAATTGCCTTGTGAACTTGTACATGATTTTTTTATAAATTTGGACAACAGATTATTTATTTTCAGTGGGTAAAAGACCTTTCCATTATTTGAGTCTAGCTATTTTTAAGTGCACAAATTTCCCAGACCAAGAAGAACTACCTTGGTCGCCAGAAGGTAGCCGGGGGAATGTAGACTTGGAGAGCAAAGAAAAATGGAAGATCTTGAGGGCAATCTTCCAAAAGAATACGGTGATGTTTCTCACATTTTTTGAGCAGGGTCTCTAGTGAGGCAAAACCATGTTTTGTTCTTGCTTTACAGTATTTATTTGTGGAGTTAGAAAGTTTCTGGGGAAGAAATGGGATTATTTATATGAAGAGCCTAGACGTCTTCTCAGAATGAAAGGGTTGGAAACTCCAACGTTCTTTTTCTCTGATATGCAAAGTTATTGAAAGCTGCTTGAGGAGACCAAGAAGATCCTAATGAAAACTCACCAAACTTGGTGAGAAAGAGGTAGAAAGGAATGGGAGCAAATCCCTCCCAGAGCCCTCTATCCTCCTTTTTCCACCTGAGCTGGTTGCTCTCCAGGCTAGCTGCACATCTCTTTCTGAAATTTCCTTTGTCTGTGCTCCTATATTGGATCATTGTTTCCTAGATTCATTGTCTTGCTCTTCATTGATTTTCTTCATCATTTTTTGTGGGGAACACATTCTCTACTAACTTCTTTAAAAAGTATATGTATATACTTCTTTAAAAAGTACATTCTTTATAAACTTTTATTATTATTATTATTATGTCTGAAAATGTCTTAGACAACTTTCATCTTTGTTTGAGAGTCTGACGCAGTATAAAATTCCAAGCTGAAAAATCTTTCTCCTCCTTGGATTTTGTAGGAATTTTTCTGTTAGTTTCTAGCATCCAGTGTTGCTACTGAAAAGTTCAATGTCGTTTTGTTTCTTTTTGTTTCGACTTTAATTTTAGATAAGGGGCTACATGTGCATATTTGTTATACAGGAATATTATATGATGTTGAGGTTTAAAGTACAGATCTTGTCACTGTGGTAGTGAACATATAGTACCCGATAGGTGTTTTCTTTTTAACCCTCCCAACCTCCCTGCACCCTCTAATAGGCCACAATATCTATTGTTCCCATATTAATATCCATGTGTGCTCAATGCCTAGCTCCCATTTATAAGCGAGAACATGTGATATTTGGTTTTCTGTTCCTGCATTAACTTGCTTAGAATTATGGCCTCCAGCTCCATGCATTTTGCTGCAAAAACATGATTTCATTCTTTTGTATGACTGTCTAGTATTCCATACTGTATATGTAGCACACTTCTTTATCCAATCTACCATTGATGGGCACTTGGGTTGATTCCATGTATTTGCTATTGTGAACAGTGCAGTGATGAACATACAAGTGAAAGTGTCATTTTGGTAGAATAATTTCTTTTGGGTACATACCCAGTAATGGGATTGCTGGGTCCAGTGGTAGATCTGTTTTAAGCTCTTTCAGAAATCTCCAGACTGCTTTCCACCATGGCTGGAGTAATCTACATTTCCACCAACAGTGCATAAGTGTTCGCTTTTCTCTGCTGCGTTGCCAGCCAGCATCTGTTGTTTTTTGACTTTTTAATAGCAGCCATTCTGACTGGTGTCAGATGGTATCTCATTGTGGTTTTGATTTGCACTTCTCTGATG